AGCTTTAGGGCCCCAAAAGTTCTAAAACGTCTTCCCTCTAATATCCATTCATCTTCCTCTTTCCACTCATTTCGATGTCTACTGAAAGAGTGGATTGTAGAACAGGTGCCAGTTTAGTCTCATCCATGGGGGGGCGCAAATGTTCTCAACATGTTTTTAATTCACAAACTGTATTTTTTTATTACATTTCTGTATTTTTTTGTTTTTTGTATCTTTAATGTACTTTTGATGTAATTGTATTTGGTGTGCCCTTGTAATTTGTAATTGTACATGTTTACTTAGGTTTTTTTTCCCTAATTTGTACTGCCTAATGCTCGTCATGCTCCTTTTGTATTTTTTACCTATTGCTGTAAATTTGATAGAATTGTATTTTTGATGTTCTTTTAATTTAAAGTTGTATGATTTTTGAGGGTCCCAAATGATTAGCTTTAGCTGGATGGGCTACCCTCTTCAAAGATGATTAAACACATAAATAAATGCCAATAATGTAGGAAAAATCCAATGAGATCCTTCAGTTAATAATTCAGAACCAAAAGGTTGCTATTTACATGCGCAAGGTCCAAATGTTTGAAAAAGAAATCTCTTCCACTGATACAGAGTTGGATATACAAGAAGACACAGTTCAGAGAGTGGATTTTGGCCCTTTGTTCACACGATTAAGACTTTTGTTTCTAGCAATTAACTGTAAGCAGTTATTCACGCTGGTCAAAATTGTGGATTCGTGTCAGCATCGGGAGAATACATCAGATGTAAGTCAGTAAATCTCAAATATTCCCAAATAGATTGACACTTTGCTTTTGGATTGTAACATGGCAAAGCCCCTAGAATTGATGCCGCTTCCTAAAAACATGTTTTGCATAGCAACCCCAAATATGATTGCAATATTGGACAGTGTTTGACTCCTAACGCTGGCAGACTATAAAAGTTTTGTGATGTCAACAGAAAAAGGCAAACATGTCTGACTTCCGGTCCTACTGGTTTGTACAAATTTGTCTACTTTACCAAGCAATGCAATCAACAATGAAAACAGTGAACCCAAATATGTAAATCTTTCTAACAGTATAACTCTACTAGTCTGTGCAGATCTTATTTCCATTTGATTTGCGGGAAGTTGGCTGACCTTTGTAGGCTCCAGTGAGCGTGCTCAGTGACACTGAGCTCCAGAGCGTTATCCTCAATTTTTCTGCCGCTCGTCTGCAATGTCTTGGGCTCCAGATAGTGCTCCACCAAGTTGCCATGGCAACCCATGATGAAGAGAGAGTCCACTGATGTCTGCTTAATACTGCCATCTGGAGGGAGGGGAGAAGATATTGATGAATATTCATGTAACATTAAGGCGGAATTTCCTATATTCAAAATAGTTGAAGCCCAGTTGGTTAATTGTCAAAACTATACGAACTAGCTAGGTGCCTCTTTAGTTTAAATAAGGCTGCATTTGGAACTTGTGTCTAGGGCTAAGTCTTGGCCCTCACTGCTTGCAATACAACAGACGTAGCCATATATGTGGACTGTGTTTAGGGCTATATCTTGGTCTTCACTGCTTGCAATGTAATAGACACAGCCATGCATGTGGACTGTGTTTAGGGCTAGGTCTTGGTCTCCACAGCTTACAACTACAACAGACATAGCCATACATGTGGACTGAATTTTCAGTCCCTACCTGACTCTGTGGATACCACCCAGAATATTCTCCAGGGGTTTTGCCTCCCACCTCCGTGACTGTTTGTCACCTCCCTATAGATTCCAAGCCACAGTGATGATGGCGCATTTGAGGAATCCATGGTTGTATTACCAGAGATAGTTAATGATAATATGAAGGCAATTGGGGGGAGTTTTCTGATTGGTCATTCCAGCTGACAGAACAATCACTATCATCTTAGGGTGTGTCTCAAAAGTCGGGGATGTTCCTTCAGGACCATTCCCATTGGAACACTAGTGTTCCATCAGAATATTCCTGCTTGACCAGAACGGCCCATTTAGTGCATAATACCATTTCCAGGAAGGGATCCAATAGGAATGTCATGCTCCCGGTGAAACAGCGGCTCGTTTTTTATTGAGAAAATGCAATCTAAATTTAACGTTCTGACCGTTCCAAGTAATGAGACATTCCCTAACAATCCTTACAGGTATTGACATTCAAATTATTTCTGACTGAGGCTAGGAGATGTAGACAAAACAAACTTGTTCTCTCTATTTCTTTCTGTTTCATAAAATTTATCCACGTTTACCGTTCTTCTCTCTGGTCCCCTTGGAGCTAGTTACAAAGTGAGCTCTGGAGCTCGCAAAGCAGGTGCTGATGCAGACGTAGTCACTCACGGCGGCCGTCTGAGAGGAGGCGCTCCGAGGCCGAGAGGCACTGCCTGTCATCCCAGCCACAGCACCCACCGAGGCTAGGATGGCCGGCTGCTTAATTTGGACCAACGGGGTAATGGTGACGGGGGGAGGATAAGGGGGCAGACGGGGGTTACTAACAGCTGCACTGGTGAGGGCTCCTGAGTGACCAAGGGATGAGATGGGCTCTGGAGAGTGGAAACCTACAAGGAAAAAATAGATGACAAAACCAGGTCACCTAAAGATGATATTTAGATTTGTGAGAAATAAGTTTCAGGCCATAATAGTGGGCTACCTTGTCCAACAAAATATCCCCTTGCCACTAGGTGTCCACCCTAGAGGATGTTGGGTTTTCTGACACCTCATAAACTTAGATACCCTACACCATGAAAGCACCCCCGTCACAAGGTGCCTATCTTACCTGAAGATGTTGGGCTTTCTAACAGGCCATGCACTGGGCTACCTCATCCCATGAAACCCCGCTCCCCAATGCCCCTACATAGCCATCTTACCTGAAGATGTTGGGCTTTCTGACAGCCCATGCACTGGGCTACCTCACCCCATGAAACCCCGCTCCCCAATGCCCCTACATAGCCATCTTACCTGAAGATGTTGGGCTTTCTGACAGCCCATGCACTGGGCTACCTCACCCCATGAAACCCCGCCCCCCAATGCCACTGCATAGCCATCTTACCTGAAGATGTTGGGCTTTCTGACAGCCCATGCACTGGGCTACCTCGTCCTGTATCGACCAATTCATCCAATCCAGCACTCTTGTGGAACCTACTTTCTTTGTTGACTATCTTGGCTGGGGTGTGAGTTCTTGAGCTCACTGGGCCTAGATTTCAAACATATCAAAGAATAAATCAATGGATATGACAAACAAACAAGAATTTCAAAGCTTTTACACTTTTACACTTAGTATGATTTTACCTTGGCCAATTTGAAGAAGTTACCAGTTCGTTAAAATGAGCATCAAAACATTTCTATCAAATTATTACTGATACTTATTTGTATAACTCAAACCACGATTTAAATCAATCTTCAGCTTAGATTTCAAAACTCATTCAAACTCTCAGTTGACAAACTTTCAAATTCAGTTCCTTCCTTTGAAGCCAGTTACTTGTAAATGACCACACACAGCAGATTTCTGGACACTATGACAAGCTCAGACATGTGAATTGTCAGTGGTTTGAAGCATACAACATTAGTGTCATTCAAAAGCAGTGCAGTACTATTCTCCCTGTGCACCTTTGGCTGAGATGAGATCCTCTCATACAGACACCATGGCTTTCTGTAGCTGGAAACGGGTCCCAATTCCTTATAGCAGAAAATAATGCTCAGCAAAACTCAGCCAGGAGGCACACACTGCCTGACATTTTAACTGGTAATCTGTTTCTAGCTAGCAATATTTTCTGTGCTTAGCACAATCCTGTGGTTAGCAGCTTGGATAGCACAGCAGACTAACCTCCGTATGGAGTGATGGGAAACACATGCGTTGTCTCTCGCATTGTACTAACAGCTACCCAGCGGCTGTCGTTGGTGAACGACACGTCTTGCACCTGAAACAAAACAAGAAACCACAATCTAAAATAACACATTTCATATTTAAAGCAAAAGTGAGGATTCTTGTTCAGACATCAAATTGAAAAAGGAATCTGGCTTGAACCGTAATGTGTCTGAAATTCACTCATACTTTGACATCCCTGTCAGGGTGAGCTTAAGGGATGAAGAAAAACCCACAAAACTTCCAGCAGAGAGGTTGGAATGATGACACTTGAATACAGTGACATTTCAGGGCTTTCAATAGCTAAAACAACGTGGGTTCTTTCACAATTTTTGGTCAAAAGTACGGAAATCTGAAATAATTATGAGAAATTCCCTGTAACTTTGCGGTGCATTAGGCAAGGCGAGCAGAACCCAGCATATAACAGGCCTCTTTGTGTTAGAACACTCAAACCCCATACCAAGCAAACCTCAGGGCCCACTCTGCTTATGGACCCAGTCAGCCCCTAACAATTCCATTCTAATTCTGTGGTGATTCAGACTTGGCTACTGCAAACCCAATTCCAGGGTTGCGAGGTGACAAGGCGTGTTTACATTTGCTTTGGAAGCAACCATTCATGAAGTGATCACCTGGGGTGAGTATATTAAAGTAAATTTGCCCATTGCCTTACTTATGTTTAAACAGCAGTTTCTGACCTGTGCTCAACATTGAAATGTCTGAAACACCTTGAATTCTTGAATTTTTGAATGAGCCTTGCTCTAAAAGCAGGGTATTTGTGAGACCCATCTTTCAAGTAACTGCTTTGGTGACAATGACTATTTGAAGTATGAATACAATCAACATTCAACCTGGATTTACCCCTGCACTCAATAATTTTGCCGAGTATGAACTAATTCAATTGGAAGTTAATACCTTGGCTGCTGTGTCGCCCCTGTACAGTGTGTAGAGGTGATGAATCGCACCCAGACCGGAGGAGCAAGGGTGATTCATGATGCGGAATATATGAAAGCTATGACCTTGTGACCCCGCTGTGAAGAGCAGAGTACCACTGGGGTCAAAGGCCAGTGCTGATATGGACTCATTGATGTGAGCTGGGAAGTGAGCCATGATGCCATCACCGCTTGATTCCTCGGTGACATTAAACTGCACACATGGGGATTGAAACATACAGACATACATATTCCTCATTTCAACAACTTAAAGACAGGTGCATGATGGGGCAGATTGAGGCAGTGACAACACACGCAATACCGTTTTGAAGTAAACTGGAAACTGAGGATGTATGTACATGAATATGTTTCAATAGTAGGAGAAAATGCAACAAGCAGGACAAACAACAGCCAATGTTAATAAAGTGCCCTCACCTGACAGTAAACTTAAAATGTTTGCCACAGGAGGACATGGCGTGTACAAGCCTTGTGGTATCTAGAGCAATGTGCGTATTTGATCTTGTATGAACATGACCTTGGCCTGTGTTTGCAAAAGGGCACAACTGTGTACCCACTCCACAGCATCTCAAGCAAGCCCAGAATATACCCAGTAATTAATAATATTAACTGACGACAGTCACTTGATTAGCATTTTCTGGCACAAAAATTCCAACCAACATTTAATAATAAATCTAAATTAATAAATCTTAGTTTAGAAGTACATGTATGTCACTTAATGTTGCCAGAGTTCTTTGGTGACCCAATGCAAACCCTATCAGCTAGGAATCAAATGTACCAGTGGCACGCAATGATTATATGAATCTTGAACTCATTTTTTTTTTTAAACAAAGTGAAAAAAGTAGCAAAAAAAGTAGCAAAACCTGTAAAACCTGGAAGTCTACAGCTGTCAGGTAAAAATCCTGAAGTCTTGAAAATCTTGAAAAATCATAGTCACGTTAAATTTTGGGTCATAATTTACAAGGGGGAAACTTACCTCCCCTTCCACTGAGCCAGTGTCAATGATAGTCACCACTCCTGGGGTGCCATGCTTGATATTCAGAGGTGCGGCACTGGGTTTGTCCACTGGACTCTCCTGTCTGGGTGGGGAAGTGGAGAGTTTGGAGGTAGCCAATTTTCCGAGGGACTCACTGAAAGCTGTTATGCCTTTAGTAATTGCCTGGAGAGAGGAAAAAAGCAAAGAAGTAAATCATTAAACACCTGAAAATTTCCTTTTCAGCGTGTCAACGTGTTAAAAAGAACATTTCTATCCAGGATGCTCATGATTTTTTTAAAAATCTCAAATCAAATAGCTTTTGGAGAGGAGTTGACAAAAAAATCTTCGTTCTGCGTCTGTGTAGCTTTCTTGAATATTTATCAGCTGTTCAATGAAAATTTTTCAAGTCACGAAAAACCTTCAAAGGTACACGTACACGTACATATTGCTTACTGAAGTGATTTTCTTAAAAAGAAGCGAAAAAGAATAAAATGAACAAACTTCCAAGCAAGCTTGAAGTCAGTCTCACTTTCAAATTTTTGATATGTTCAGAAAATTCAGCCAATCATTTAATGGCATGGTCTGGTGACCTACCTTAGCGGCATGAATGACAGTGGCTTTGTATGACTGGCTGGTCTCTCTGCAAACTCCACCACCACTCTGATGGGTGGGTATCAGCTACAATGAAAACCAAAGTAACATCAACTAAGTCTGACAGATGGGGGGGGGCGTTTCTGCTTAACTTTACATTTGGAATTCAGAATTGCAGACAGAAATAAAGAAATATAAATGGTTTGTGCACTTGTTCACACTATCACAAGAAAAACATGAATTAAATTTGAGACAGCTTCAGACAAATACAAGTACCGGGTATCGTTAGAAAAAAATTCTTCAAAATCAAGACGGTGTTAATGAATCACGCAAATAATTACAGAACATTTATTCCGAAAGGAAGATATGCAACACCCACTCAAATGAACCATGCCACATCTAAATTGAACCTTTGAGTTTGTAATAGATTGACTAGAAATGAATGAAAACGCTACCAAGATTAAAAATTCTTTCTGCTTTGATTAATCTTAATTTGCACCAATTTATAAAAGTCAGTAGAAATTTAACTCAAGACTGGTAAAACTGGGGACTGGAATGCCTTTAATTGAAACAGAATGGCCAACATGTGCGCCAACTTGCACCAAAACAACAATGAATGCAGTACATGTAAATATGAAAGAGAAACCTCACAATAAGCCAAACAGAAAATGTACCTTATTTGGAGCACATGCTGAAGAAATTGGCTTGCACAAATCCCACAGTTTTTATTGATTTCTGTGTCAGCTGTAGTTATCATAAACCAGAGCTGTCAGACATCCATTGTAGGCCTACTTTCTCTTTTACTTCCAAGCTGTCCAAGACGAATAACTAGGCACTGGCATTTGAAATTTTCATGTACCTTCCTGTCAGCGTAGGCGAGCCATCGTGTGCCCAAGGCAAGCGGGTTGAGATTAGGCGAGCTGGCGGGATAGCAGCTGGTGATGCAGAACAGGCTCTTGAAGGAAACGGCATCAAACGCTGCCACCTTCTCCTGCAACGCTACCACGATCAGTCTGGCCAAGGGAAACAAGAGACACTGTCAAATGGCCGAGACGAGTCAAGGTGCTCTTCAACCACTGCTCAGTGTTGGGTGATACCAGATCCAAATCAACTGGCTGTGGCTATAACACATACACATCTATGGAAAGCGGACGCAGCCACAAGCTAGTGCCATCCATAAGCATTCATGCTGTGTCTAGCCACAGCCATATCATACAGAGACGGCTTGATATTCATGAGATTTCAATGTACTCCTAGTTGAGCAGTACACAGTGTAATTTTTCAGAGGTCATATTAAGCACTGTATGATGAAAATATTAATATCTAGCAGTGGTTTTTCTTGAGAAAGAAAAAAATCTGGAAATTTCCAATATGACAAGTAATAATTTTCTCTGTTTATGGAAACCCCACCCGTTAAAAAGAAAAAACAAAACCCAAAACAATGCTACTCCTGCCTGATGCCAAGCTTGTGCTCTGTCAATGCAACCAACATTAACACATGCAATACAAGGTGCAGGATAGTACCAGGGTTTTTTTGTAGTCCCCCTGAGCTCATATTGTCCGTGTTTGATTTTACATGAAGTATGAGTACGTTTCTACAGGATTTGTAGATGAAACTGTGTTGCCTACTCAGATCAGCAGAACCATTAAAGGATGAACTGAACAATCGTGCATATATCCATTTTTCATTTTCAGTTGAATGAAAACAACCCAACAATGAGTTCATGTGACAGGAACACTCCTGATCATCAATGCATGGAGGCAGTGCTGCCCAAGTGCTGCTCAACAACTCTGTTGGGTAATTTTACTGCTGAAAGTGTATTTATTCACAAAAAAGGCATGCACAGGACTTGCTGATGGATAATATTAGGGTCATTCCATGAGGTTGGGGCACAATTTGTGACAGTGTCCATTGTTACGTGGGTTCCGTAAAAATCAACAGCTATTTCCCTGCAGGTGGATTCCAAATTATACACCCTGCAAGGCTGAATACAGAGGTGTGTGTTACCTTTACAGAGTAAATGACAGGTGGTAAAAGTTACCCATGTAACAAGGACACCATTACAAACTGTGCCCCAACTTCATGGAATGACCCATCACGTACTTTCACACGACGGTCATCTCCTCTCCTAGCCCAAATCCCTATCACTGAGCATAATACCCAACCATTAGCATATTCTTTATACTTCAAATTTTCAAAGGGCATCACGTTCCACTGTGAGTGTTAGCTTCCCTGAATCCTCCAAAGTCATCTGACAAAGATCACCGGTTGGTTTTTGGAAGATTAGGGGGGTGGGGTGCAAAGATTAAGCAGAAGGCTACCTTCTGTTGCCGAGGACATCGCATACTGGTGTCTTGAAGGAGATATTGTGGACTTGCTCGCCTGTCTTGAGAGACAACAGGCTCACTGAACAAAATGGCTGACTGGAGCTGAGAGGAGAACACAAAGTGGAAAAAATTGATCCATCTGTATGCACAGCTTGTGTGTCTGTTGCAGCAATGCATGCCTGAGAGATCACACTATGACAAACCAAGTGTCCCAACTTTGTACGCGCACACAGAGATTTGAATATATGTGACCCGCTCTGTGAAAATGAGTCTTAAGTCGGCAAAGCCACTTTGGAGTAAAGAGTCCTTTAAAATAATTTTGCACAGTGTAAATCAACAGGAACCCACAACATTTTTCACCATGGAGTATCCACTTTCATCAGGATGCCAAAGTGAGTGATACATCAAAACAAAAAACCCAATTTCCTCTTTCCAATACAAATGAAAACTTTAAAGTGGCTCTGGCAACTTAAGACTCATTTTCACAGAGTGAGTCACATATTAGCTTCAGCTGGCCATATGTAAGAAACTGACTGAAGGAATTCAGGAAAGTTCTTGTGATGAAATGCAACATTCTGAACACTCTGTACTGTTCATGTATTACAGTCATTATCGTGTTTACATTTGAGCTTAATCCGTCTGCCTAACTTATTTTTTGGCCGGCATGAACAAATTTCAGATTAAGTTAATGGCTGCATCCAATGATATCCCAGTTGAAAAGACACCCCGGTAGTCATGCCTGGTACCTTAGGCCATTTACACCAACCCAATACACCCATTGCACCAGCTAAATCACGTGACCTATAGCGAGTATCAAACATCCATAAACATGGCGTCCTTCCATAGCAAAATGTGTCATGAGTGTTGTTTTACACACAAAAAAAATCGGTAAAGCATTCAGCACATCAGTAGACTGAGTACTTTACCAACCATCAGCTTTATTTTTGGTGACACTAATGACACATTTTGCTATTGAAAGATGCTATGTTTACTGATGTTTGATGCCTACTATAGGTCATATGACTTGGCTCAGTCTACTGACAGACCTCTTCTACATGTAGGTTTGGTCTACTGATTCCGGATAGTGAGACATGTAAACTATCCCAAACATGGCATGCTTGTAGTTTATATCCTCCAGTTCTAACAAACAATTTTTTGTTTACAATGTCAGCCCTGCACAATAACAGTTCAGGTACCTCCTCAACAAATCCTATAATCAATGAGGCCTTTTTAAAGAGAGGGTCTGCGGTAACACCATGTGGATATATATCTCTTTTAGGAGAGGTATGGTTCTGATCAGGACCAGTGAGAGCGTACTCAATGTTTCAACCACTTTGCTCTGGTCATCCTCAGGAGTGATGTGTTGGACTTTGGTGGAGCGCCGGTATAGGTTGTGTGGGGATTAGCTTGGATCTCTGGCGCACTGAAACGTGAGATGGATGCTTGGCTGTGAGGTCGGTGATACATGGTAGAGGAATGCTGGCGCAGAAGGTCTTTTTTTGTTCAGCTCTGGATGTCTGGCAGCAAACCACAGATACATGTCTGCTTGAATGTTTTCACAACTTCGGGTTATATGGGGATAGTCATGGGTCAGTTAACGATACAGAGGCCTTTCCAAACTGGGTGAATTGAATGAGGCCCCTTCAATACAAGTACCACTACTTCTGTGGATTTACCGTAGAGCTAGCAGAACTGCTGATACAATGGTGATACCCAGAGAACCATTAAGCAAAGTTAAATATACATGTAGGACACAAAGGAAATATTCAAACTGCCGGAAATTTGGTAAAAAAATAATCGACATATTCACTACAAGATACTGTAATTATGCGCACGATGTTTACTACTACCTTGCTCCATCACACAGTGCCACCAATGGTCGCTTGTCCTGCTGATGGTTACTGATAGCGGTGACATAGGGCGTGGGAAGAATACGCAGTATTCTCACAGGACCCTGACGTAGAGACAAAACCTCCTGGGCATCACCGCTTGGCTGCAACAAATATTATACAACCATCAAATTAGCCAGATCAGTTCACATCAAATAATATCAAATCATATCATATCATATGATGTCATATTAAATCACCCTAAACTACTCCAAACCCTTCAAAAACTTACTAACTCACTTTTGTCAGAGTTTGATGGATTTGGGAAAGTCAACTACAGTGCTGAATGTGGGAGGGGCCAAAGTTGAAAATAACAATAGACATTGGGTGAACTAATTAATGAAGTGATTACTCAATGTTTGAAAAGTTTGGCTTCAAAAGCTAGTGAAATCAAATCAGCCACCTGTTGAACTACTAAAAAAAACCTGAGGCTATGTTGAGGATGAACTGGACCTTGACATTAGGACTACTTGACATATACATATATTTGATTCCAGCTTTTTCTGTGAATTAAAAATATATTTAAAATCATAGCCCAAAAAACAGTAGACAAGTCATCAAATATTATTTGCTTTCAATCCTTTACAGTTGGTCAGATTTTATTCTAAAAACTAATCTCAACCTGCCAGATTTCTATAATGACCAATTGTGTTGTATGCTGTTTATTGTAAAAATCCTCTTTTCTTATTATTATGTATTAATTATTAATTATGTATTTTGTGGTAATAACAGTAACAGCTTGATTATTACACATTTAGTGTAGCTCTCTCACATTAAAATTCTGAAATTGAAGTTCAGGAAGTATATTTTCCGTAAAACAAGGAAAACAACAAAAAAATTGCTCCCAGAGTGTGCAAACTCGAAATTCACCCGTGTATAAAATTTTGTCAATATTTGGGAATTTATTTACTCTCACAAGTGACTTACAGGAATACTCCATATTTGAACGCCGTTGGTGTAGCCTATAGCTAGGAATATTGGTTCTTCCAACCCCTCCTGGTTGATGTAGTACGGACTGGACACATGCCCTGCAGGTGCAAGGAGAAAAAACCTGCATAATTAATGAAGGAGAAAAGGTTAATTACATTGATTATTTCAATGAATGTGGTGAGTTACACAGACCCTACAGGTGGCATTTCAATGGAAAGGAAATTTTAAATATGTTCCCTTTCTGTAAGGGATCTGGGATGAATATAGAATCTTTAATCCTTATAAATCTGATGTGACATGTATGTAGTGTGGGCTGACCTCATGTACAACAGCACAAACTCCATGACATTACAATGATAGAAAATAAAAGAGGGTACCAAACAGGAACTAAAAATATCGTCAGTAACCAACCCGGTTAGGGCTTGCCATTTATGCGCATGTGCTATGTCCAAAAGTAACATACATGTACAACATACTGAAGAGAGAAGTTTTTCGGGGAGGATGAGGGTGAACAGTTTCTGTGACAATGCCTTATTTTAATAAGAAAGGTTTCATTTAAATGCTCAACCATTCATCCATCATTCATGAAGGAAATGTGTACACAAAGAATAAAAACATAAAAGCCAAATCTGATACAAAATATCCAACTATATAAATTTATATATTTCACACAGGTGTACATGTAACAGGTGTACATGTCGCACATGCACTCATTGTAAACATCCCCTACAAAACACAAAAATAACGAAACACTGTTGAAATAATGGTACCCAATTAACTTCATGTCACAAAATATTATCTCCTCACTGAAGTCAATAACTTGAAAAAGCACAGAATAATTTGCCACAACAGTATATGGGAACATTTGACAATTCAGCAACCCCAAGGGGGACAAAATATCTCTGCTTGATTAATTACAACAGTAACAATTCATGAACGTCTGCATATAAATTGGTGCACAGGGAAATATGCATGACCTTTAGGGTTCATTGTGAAAAATATGGCTCTGTCATGTCTGTTACACACACATGTGTGCCATTGGTTGTACACAGTCAAATGTGACCGGCTCCACAAAATGGGTATTATGGGACTTTTTTTGAAAATGAGTCACACACACATTGGTTATGGTTACATTGTAAGTTTTAACTTGGTGTAGGTTTGAACCGTGTGGCATTTTCCGATCTGGAGATATAATGATTTTTGCATAATCATATCATACACATCAACAGAAGTACTTTCAGAGATAAAGCCCTTTAAACAAAGGAAATGGAAAAAGAAATCAGCCAAGAAGAAAGTCCTTCCAATATCCATAGCAACAGTTAGGTTTCTTGTATGAAATGTGAAAATACTGATATAAAAGAAGCCAACAAACCAACAAGTAAAAAATCACCCTCTTTGCATAGAAAAGCCCTTGGCATGAAAAAGCACAGCGTTCCTTAATACCCTTTTTTGCAGAGCAGGTCACAAATGATGAAAATATCCTGCTCCCATGAAAGTCATAATCAGTTTAGCCAGATATTTAAAAAAAGCAAGTTATGACCTGCGAGTACATGTTAATAGGGGCATGGTCTTTGCACAGCACTAGCAGAAAATGACCTGTTTATGCTACATATATTCGATTTTTGTGTGGATTGTGTGATTTTGTGTCGATTTTTTTGGATTCATGAAGAGCTATAACCCCTAAAAATGCCATTTCAAACAAAATTTGTATGCAGTTACATGTAGCAATTGTTATAGAAATACATGCATATGAGGCTTTACAGTAGAAAAACCATTTCTATTTGTTTTCACCATAACAAGCTTGATCTAAGTACATGAACTAGTATGATGTATGAGGCATTCCCTGGCCCCACCCACACAAGAGTGAATAAAACATAAGCCTGTCTTCCTGAAATTGTGAAAGTCTCACGTTTCTCCTATTGTCCTTAAATTGGGTAACCCAAACATCATAAGATGTGAAAAAAATTTTAAGAATGCACAGCAGTGTGGGTAGTATGTCCAATTGTGGGCATTCACCCAACTGTAAACATACACTCTGTACATGGGCCCTATATTCTTTAAAGTCCAAAACCTTTTACAAACAAGTGAATGACCTTTCAAAACACAAATTGAAGGTTGGTTATTATTGTGACTGTGCGAACTAAAAGTTCCTGAACAAAAGGGTCCTAGTACTTTTCAGGGCGTATGCGCACACACCCTAAAGAAAGGAAACAAAGATAAACATGAACAGTGAAGAAACTGCCCCTTCAACTTCACCAGTGGGGTACTAAAAAATTGTACAGTGTAATACAAGCTGACCTGCATGTACATGTACATGTATGCACATGAAAATACACTTTAAAAGTGGCCAATACACAAATATCAACTACATGTAGGTAATACACATAACAGTGAAAAAAAATGCAAGGGGTATGACCAAAATGCGAGGGGTACGACCAAAATGCAAGGGCTATGAGAGGTCCAGAAGTACGAGCAGCACGGCTTTTTTGTTGTCCACGGCACACATGATGTCACTATGAACTTTGAGAAGGGCCGTTTCGACACGGTGACAACTTCTGTACGTGGACTGC